AAGCTCGATTTGTGGCTAAAGGTTTTAGTCAAACGAAAGGAGTTGATTATGAGGAGACTTTTTCACCGACTGCTAATTTATCGAGTGTGAGAGTTTTGATGCAGAAAGTGGTTCAGGATGTTGGTTCACCAGATGGATGTCAAAACCGCCTATTTACATGCACCAATAAATGAAGAAATATATATACAACAACCAGAAGGTTTTGAGATAGAATCAAGTGAGACTAATAAACTGGTGTACAGACTAAAGAAATCACTTTATGGGCTGAAGCAATCGGGTCGTAACTGGAATCAAACCTTACATGACTATTTAAGCAATTGTGGATTTAGACAAATATTGCTGATCATTGTGTGTATTCAAAAGAGACTGAAAGTGAAAAGGTAATCATCATAGTGTGGGTGGATGATTTACTCATTGCAGCTAACAATGAAAATGTGCTTTCAGGCGTGAAAGAAATGCTCTCTTCTAAATTCCAAATGAAAGATCTGGGGAAACTTAACCATTTTCTAGGAATAGATTTTTTCAAGAAAAGAATGTGTCACAATGTCACAGAAAGTATATATTGAGAACATTTTAAAGAGATTTAACATGCAAAACTGTAAGCCACGGTTAACACCCTGTGAACAGAAATGGACTCATTCTGATAAATTCGAGACATTACCAGATGTGAGGAGATATCGTGAAGCGGTAGGATGTCTTATCTATCTGAGCCATTGTACGCGACCTGATTTAAGCTATGTTGTCAGCAAACTGTCACAACATTTCAATGCGCCAACTGTTGATGATTGGACAGCAGTGAAACATGTTTTGAGGTATTTAAAAGGTAGTCGAGGGAGAGAACTGTGTTTTAGGAAATGTTCAAGTGGAAAACTGGGTCTACAAGCATACAGTGATGCAGATTGGGCATCCGATGTTTCTGATAGACGCAGTATGACAGGTTATTGTGTAAGCCTAAATGAAAATGGTCCTTTGATATCAGGGTGGCTGTAGCTCAGGTGGCAGAGCAGGTCAGCCACTAATCAGAAGGTCGGTGGTTCGATCCCAGGCTGCACCCTGGCTGCATGCCAAATATCCTTGGGCAAGATACTAACCCCGTGTTTGCCTACTGGTGGTGGTCAGAGGGCCCGGTGGCGCCTGTGTCCGGCAGCCTCGCCTCTGTCAGTGCGCCCCAGGGCAGCTGTGGCTACAATGTAGCTTGCTTTCGCCAGTGTGTGAATGGGTGAATGACTGAATGTAGTGTAAAGCGCTTTGGGGTCCTATGGACTAGAAAAGCGCTATACAAATGCAGGCCATTTACCATCATGGAAAACCAAAAAGCAGACAACTACAGCATTATCAACTTGTGAAGCCGAATACATGGCATTAGCAGCAACAATTCAGGAATGTATGTATTTGACTTATTTGATTCAAGATCTTGATGAGTTTGAGTATGAAATACCTATGATATTGGAGGACAATCAGGGAACAATCGCTTTGTCAAAGAATCCAGTGAACAGACAAAGACGTAAACACATTGATGTGAAATATCATTTTATAAGGTCAGCTGTACATGAAAGAAAAGTGCTCATTGATTACTGTCCAACTGAGTCAATGGTAGCAGATATGATGACGAACCAGTCTCAAAGTCTAAGTTAGACAAATTCTCTGGATTCGTGTTTGGAATATAAGATGTTTTTTTTGGAGGATTGTTTTTCCCCCAACCTGTGTACAAGTGGGGTGTTGGATTATGTGTCCACAGGTGTTTGTACTTTGTGCCTTAATAAAATGACGGTAAAAGGCCCCGCCCATATCCTATCCATGTCTTATCATGCAATGACTCTGTGAATGGACTGGAGAGGGTTGTGGTAGAGTCCTCCGTCAGGAATGAGATGTATGTGTCGACTTTTTATTCTCCCTTAAAAGTATTATGCCATAAATGCTGCACAGGGCAGCTCTGCTAACAATTTCTAAACACAAACCTCTTCACACTTCTAACATGCACATTTACACAACTAAATGGCAGTATTGATGAAAAGAAACACATTCAACAAATCCATTTAAACCTTAAACAAACAAAAGGAAGCATCTCTATGGACAAACAAACCCCTCCACTTGGTTTGACCTGCTGATGTCATGTGTGACATCAGCAGGACTTTAAAATGAGGAAATGCCAGGCGGGTGTTTCCCCACACTGACCCTCATGAAGCCTGAAAAGACAAACAAAGTAAGAACAAATGACTTAATCTGTAACATAATAAAATGTAAAGAAACATGTAACTGAGTATTCAGCTTCATTTGCAGAATGTTTGATTTGCCAGCAACTGAATGCTTCCACACACAACCCGGCATAGTGAGTGAAGCAATGTTACTTAACAAATAGCAAATCATAGCAAATACATAGAAACAGAATAATGTGTTTAATATGCAAAAGAAGAAGAAGAAGTAAGACATATGGGACAAATGGAGACCATTGCAGCTCATCCACCAGTGGGGTAAAAAGAGCAACCAAGAAAGTGGCAGCCTGCACGGCACAGATGTGCTGGAGGAGCTAGAAGCTCTACCATGGAGAAACTCCTGGAGAACCTTGCTAAGCCTAACAGGGGACAGGTACTTCTGCCCAACCTGGCAGCCACAAAGTGAACTCATTTAGGTAAAGATAACCACATGCACCTAACCAGCCTGCACCAGCCTGACATTTCTTCCTCCTAAGTAAAAACCAATGGATGGATTGAACTTAGAGTCTCAGCTCAGTTTTCTATTTTGACCACCTACACCCCAAGATACTCTTTTAAAAAGTGTTGTTTTCAGATCCCTTTGAAGTTCATAAAGGGCCTGTTCATTTTCATTCAGATGTTTTATTACATAAATGTTACTGTTTTCTTTTGATTTATGCTCCCACTACACTGCACCTCTACAAACAACAATGCCACGGACTGTCAGTTGCTTTTACATGCTGTGAACATGAGTAGTGTTCTGGCTCCTTAAGAGTCACCGCTCACGTTATGTAGTGTTATACAAGTTCATGCAATCTTTATTCGTTTCTGGCACACTGTTCATTTTATTTTGACATTCTACCGGAAGTGCTACTTCTCATTACTTCCTGTCTAACGGGAGAAGGACAGTTGCTACTCCTGTGCCTGCCTATGCTGCCTCTTAAGCCAGCACAGTCTGTAAGTTGGCAGTAATGTTGTGTTTTACCGGTGAATGTTTAGCACTAACTGCCGTGTGTTGTTTGTGATATTTTGAGACAGTAAATTGACTCAATGATGTGCTTTATTAGTCATTAGCCTAACGCTAATTAGCGCTAGCTAACCGCTAACGTTAGCTTGTTAGCTTGTTTCGTTCTGCTTTGCTTTGCATAGTAACAGGTCATAGCATCTTCTAATTGTAAGAATGTTTGCTTATATTAGCTCACATGGGATATTTTGTGTTTGTTTACAGTTTTACCATTCATCCATTCATGTATTTCTACAAGCCATGCTATGCATCCAATCAAATAAATCCACCAGAAAGGAACAACGGTGTGGTTTTTCTACATGGGATGATGGTTGTCTGTCAGCCTAGTTAAGTGCGAGGGCAGAACAAGTAGGTTTGATCAGAGTTTCAATTATCAAAGAAAAGACAACTGAGCAGAAAGAAGGAAAAAAGACCAACTTCTTCCCAACTGACAAGAAAATACTCGTCATGTTTTCATAATAAAGGATCAGGCTCCCCATTTATGACAGCTTGGACCAATAATGTATGTTACACTGATGCTACTGTAGAGACAGGGTCAACATCTCTATTTAATATAATTAATATACAAACACAATAAAAGTTATACATGAATTATTCATTATTTTTACTATTGATAAATTCATGTATACTAATCAAAGTTATACATGAGTAATGACATTATTAATAATGATTAATAATAATAATTCTAATGCCAACATGATGATGTTCATAGCTCCTGCTTTGAAATACTGAACTTAAACATTGACCTGATGAAGATCACAATTCACAGTGGCCCACTGTCAGAATCATTCTGAATATAAACTCATCGAGTTAATCTGAACCTTTCTCAAATGTGCTGTGAATAAATGCTGCTGCAAGCCACTGTGGGAAAGCTGTGTTATTATCATGGAAACATCTGTGACACATTCACAGAGGACGAGGACACAAAGGGACGACACGCAGAGGCTGTGTTAAAGTCAAAAATCCAAATCTTTAGTCCTAAACAGGCAGTGGTTACAAACAGGAAGATGAGCAGTCCATTAAACAGTCTACAGGGTCAAACATACAGAGAATTCAACAGCTATTAAAACAAATAACTGGACACTGAAAACTTCAGTGATGTGTGAGGCACCAAAGGGAAGCAGCTGAGTATATTCAATGAATTCTCTTCAATACAAAGACAGAAACTCCTACAGGCAGCATGCAAACTGAGCAGGATACACAAAGATCAGAGATTACAAATAAATCAGAAAAGGATTTCAAACTTACTGAGAGCAAGGCCTCTGTTACAAATCTGTCTAATAGAAAACATGCTGTACAGATACAATACGCTCAGTGTTCATGGTCATTTAAAACTGGCTCTACCTGAACCACTTCAATATTTTATGAAGTCACTGAGTCGACCATTTCTACAGTTTGTTTCCTTCATTGCAGTTAGAGTGCGGCTGGTAAGGATGAAAACACCACAGAGCGTAAATTGTCTTTGTTAGTAACAAACGTCAGCAAAGAAAAGACAAAACACACAAACACTCTCATGATATTCATGAATCATCAGAAAGCATCCAAACATTCTGCTCGTGGACTTTTACAGTCTTATTGCACTCGCTCATCTTCATAATCATCCTGATCATACATGACAGGGGAGGCTTTGAGGTAGGCGGGGCTCTCTGCTGATGTCAGCATGAAAGGCAGGACCAGCGTCTGCCACATGTTGGTGAAACATCACAGTACACTGGCATGGTTTCCTTTCCAGATGTTGGACGTTTGACACTTCAACGTTGAGGCCAACAAGAAGACACAGTTTTGGTCGGGTTGCTGCAGGGTTTCTAACTGAGCAAGCAGAAGCACACAGACCAACAGGGATCAGATGCTGAGTGTTAGAGGAACATCTGTGCTGATCACTGAATGCTGCTGTGGTCTCTTGTTGAAGTTGGCTGGTGGGACAGTCTAATAGTGATATCCTGCCCATCGGAGGAACACTTTTAAAAACACATGCAATACTTTGTTTGTATTACAGTCACAGTTTATGTTATTTTTGTCCTTTAAAGTGTTGCTGTACTATAAAGTCCTATAATTTGAGGCTAAAACGGCTCAGAGAGTCTCTCTCTCAGAGGATCTCCTTTGAAAGTGGAGACGGCTTTATCCGCTGATCCACGTCACTTTACCTGGATGTTTTCTTTGAAGCTGGATGAAGACTCCTCTCCCTCACTCCTGCTGCAGCTGTGTGGTCCAGTTGGCCTCTGAGGTCACAGTCAACATCTGTAGCAGAAGAGGGGAAATAAAAGTCCAGGTTACCAAAACTGGGAGCTTTTCCAAAATAGAGCGTAACTGGACTTTTTCAGCCTTACAGGCAGATAGTCGTCTGAAGCTGCAGCTTTTTCTTTTTAGCTTTTTCCAATCTCTGCTCTCGGCTTTCTTTGAGAACATGTCTGCTTTCTTGGCATGGGTCTGTCTGCTGTTGGTGAAGAGACTAAATCCACATACTCGCTACTAAGATCTCCTCAAGTAGTCTCAACCAGATTACAGTTTAAGAGTAAATGTCTCCTGAGAGTTTCACCTTGGGGAGATGCTGTCTTGCTAACATGCAATCATGAGCATTAATCTATGAGGTGAAAAGTCATTTTAAAGCTCCAGCCACAAGTTTTATTTCATCTGTGTTTTGGTCAGAGTCCATCAGACCTCCAGAATGGTGTCAGAGTGTTTTCTATCCACGTGATGAGCACAGGCCTCAGGTCCAGACCTCCACGGGCACCATAGCCTCTTTGGAGCTAATAGTGCAAGAAGGTTTTGTTGGGATAGGAACTGAAGAGGAAACTGACGAGGAAGGCAAGGATCTTCTTCAGCTCCTCCGAGCCGGACCTCTTTGTGTAGGCCAGCATTGGCCAGGTAGCCCTCCAGCATCGCTGGATGGCCGACAGTGGAAAACCTAGAGGAGTAGGAGAGAAACAGCAGCTTGGAGCATGTCTTTATACTGTTTAGTTTTTAGAGCCACAGACTTTCTTTTAATGTCATTGTTCAGGATCTATGACTGATTATGTATTTATTGTATTCCTCCATGACTGTGTGACAGCAAGTGGAAAAAACCAGCTTCACCTTTGTTGATGCTTGTAATTTTAATATTGATTAAATGGCCCATGAATAATAGAAAGCTCATATATGAAAATGTATTTTAAGAAGTAAAATGTTAATCTGAGTACAAAGGAGTACACTCACCTTCTGGTAGATGGAGGTGTAGCGAGCGCTGGTGAACATCCAGGCCTCCTCGTAGAACTGATCACTGATTGGATCCAAAACATCGATGGAGGATCTGTGTAAGCGCTGAGGATCGTCCTGATGGACAGAACAGAAGGAGAGTGAGACAAGTGAAGATATACTAAACAACACTGTGACATGAACTGAGCCACACACAGTTGGATTCACAGCTGATTGACACATTATTTGACCACGAGCAATCTTTTCTGGTTTGACGCCGTCTTTGTAGCCAGAAACCAGCTCTCTCCTCGGCTTCCTCCACTACACGCTTCCCCACGCCGGTCTCCTCCGTCACTATAAAGGGGAGAGTCATGAGCTCCATCACCTCACCTGTGCCGTCCAACGTCCGCCACCAGCCTCCACTGCAGCAGGCCAGAGACCACACCCCTGCCACAATAAGTAAAAGTATATCCTTGCTGTACCCTTAATGCTAAATGTGCTAAATTAACCGCTGCCTTTGCCCCTTTGGGATTATTCTTATGTCACTGGGATGTTGACCTTTGACCTTCACATTAGAGAGATGGACAGACATAATTAGTGTATGAATTTTAAAGTAACAGGTAATAAAGAGAGTGTAGCAAATGTAGTCAGGTTTATTACTCTGTATCACACATAGTGCCCGAGGGAGGCGGGGCTGACTGGGGAGACACAGGAAACAAGAGACAGGCTGACTCGACATGAACGATGAAACGTGGGACACGGGAACAGAAACTAAACACAGCTGAATGAACACTGAGGGAGGAGAACTAAGATTACTGAGAGCCTGATAATAAGAAGAACAAAAGCAAGAAAACAAGAGTCAAAGAAACCAAAACACAAAGCATTGGGCCAGGACCCACTGCTGTGACATTTATATGTGATAAAACATTAAAACTGCTCAGATGTTGAAATCTTTCTACGTATACTTTAGGTTCAGCTCTCCAGCCTGGCATTTGGTTAAGCATGATTCAAACATTTGATTTTGTTTAACTGGTTTTAATTATATTACTTTTTGTGAACATTTGTTGCAGCATTTAAAATACATATTTATTTTCAAACTTTTATTTGATTTAGAGCATCATATTTGACCAACGTAAATGTTTAATTTCATATAAAATAACTGAAACAGTGAACTAAATATCTGAAATCTTCCTTCCTTAAAAGTTATAATCTACTTAAGTTATAGTGCAAACGCTAAGCAACAAATATACTTGATGCTAATTAATTAATATTCCCTTTGATGTTGCAACTATGCGGTCATTTCTGTCTTTAAACAAAATAATATTTTCCAGTTACAGAAATCATAAAGTCCAAACTACACTGAAAAAATATGTTGTTGGATTTATTAATTCATGGTGGACATTTGTTGCACACAGATGTTTTGCTTTGGCAGCAACTTAACAATGAGTTAAATTAACACATTTATTCATGTTCAATAAGCCTGTGCAATTTGTGTTGATAAAATGTGACTAAACATGTTTGATGAAGTAATTTGAGCTCTTGGAATATTTTAATCCTTCACATTTTCTCACTTATCCCAACACCATTCAATAACTTTACCAATACTACTTGGTCACTTAAATACTACATGTTATCTTCAATTATATTTTGCTATTATATCTAGTATCAATACACAATTTTCCAAATGGAGGCCTTATAACAGATTATATTGTTCTCTTCCAAGATGGTTGCTGGCATCCACCAGTAACCTTTCAAACAAAATGTCTAATTTCACTGCATTGACAGTAGTAAAGAATTAAACTGACATTACTCCTCCACTGAATCTACATAAATCAACAGTTAATAATGTCAGTTCTTCCGTGTTCTCTGGAATCAATCACAGCAAAGAAATTAACTGTTTCTTTTGAAAATGTTGGGAAAGAACAATCAGATCAAAATCAAGATTCAGTTAAACACAATTATAACTAAACAATTTGAGATAATGTTAGTTCCATTAACACTAAATTAGGTTACTGATTGGCAAACACCTTCCTATTAACATTACCATTTTACCCCAATAACTAAAGAAATTAGCACTTGCAGGTCAAAACCTTTATTCAAGAGATGCAAATAACATTGATACAGTGACTGTCAAAAATTACAGCACTGATCATACTGTGACATGTTGGTTCAAACAGCACACTTAGAAATATTCAACGTTCTTTACTTCAACTGAATGAAACTGAAACACCATTTCACATGACCCATATGGGATATTTAGACTGTTCACGCTACATCTCTTCACTAGTAAAGAAAGAAAAAATACAAAGAGAAATTTAAAATGCTGCCAAAATGCTGCACAGAGCAAAAGGAAAACAAACAACAACAAAAAATGGCCCTGTCCTCATGGCAGTTGCAGTGTATATAAAATGAACCCTGCGATCTGTTCCTGGAATTGAGCTTCAAAAATGCAGCGAACAAGTGGAGATTTAAATGTTTCTCACCTAGAGCTGATCACCTTGCATGCATAACAGTGAGCTTTCCTTGCAGGAGCAGTTTTGTCTTAGTTGTGAGCTTTTTTGTACCGGACTCTGCGCCCCATTTTAGTGTCAGACCACACCTTCAAGTATTCCATCAACAACAACAAACAATATCTTTATTTATAGAGCACATTAAAAGCCAGGGGCATGCCAAAGTGCTTTACATGAAACAAAACAATAAAATGATTTACACTAAACATCAGAGTCATATAAGTGTGGGATTATGTTCAAGGTAAAACCACTAATAGGATAATCTATAGCACACAGCTATAGCAAAGTAGAACTGTACCATCATACACAGTGATAGAGGACATAGGCTACGCAACAATAAAATAATAAAATAATTAGCACTATAACGTCAGAGTCATATAAGTGAGAGATTATGTTCACAGGTAAACCATAATAAAATAAACTATAGCACACAGCTATAGCAGAGTAAAGCTGTAAAGCTGTACCATCAACACAGTGATAGAAACATTGACAGCGCAGGACAACGCAAACAACCAGACATTAATAGAACAACTCACTAGAAGCAAGGCGAGAATTTAACTAGTAGAAAAGCAAGTTCAACAGATATGTTTTAAGCCGTGATTTAAAAGATTGAATAGAATCAGACGCCCGGATGCCAATCGGGAGATTGTTCCACAGCTCAGGTGCAGCTAGAGCGAACGCTCGATCACCTCTAGACTTCAAGCGAGATCTGGGCTGAACCAACAATGACTGTGAGGAAGATCTTAAGGCCCTCGTAGGAAGATATGAATTTAAGAGTTCCTTAAGATAACTTGGCCCTGTGTTATTAGTAATTTTAAAGTAAACAACAGAATTTTAAATTGAATACGAAATTTCACAGGCAACCAGTGCAGATCAGCAAGGACGAGTGATGTGAGCAAACTTCTTAGTTTTAGTTAGAATGCGTGCAGCGGCATTCTGGATGTCTGTAATCTATGTAAAAGGGTAGAGTGGAGACCATAATAAAGTGAATTACAGTATTAGTCTTGACGTAACAAAGGCATGGATAAGCTTTTCCAAGTCATTGTGCGGGATGTAGTGTTTGGCCTGGAAATAAGGCGAAGTTGGTAGAAACTAGATCTGACGACAGCAGATACTTGTTTATCAAGTTTAAATGAGCTGTCAAGTAGCACACCCAGTTCCTAACAGTGTCAGGGAAAGAACTAGTGAGACAACAAACTTGAGTTTGGCCAAAGAGCGTTCACTGCCAAGATCATAATTCAGTTTTCTTATCGTTAAGGATAAGAAATTTGCCAGAAGCCATTGCTTGACCTCACACATGCACTCTCGAAAGTTACTCACGGACATAGCTAGATCATCATTCAGCTCAAATAGATCTGGATGTCATCGGGCTAATAGTGAAAGGCAATGTGGTATTCTCAAAATGACACTTAAGGAAGCATATACAGTGAGAACAGGGTAGGCCTAGCACAGATCCCTGGGGGACACAGCAACAGGTACAGCGGGGAGGAGGAGGTGGCCAAGTGAACCGAGAGAGCCGATCGGAGAGGTAAGATTTAAACCAATCCAAGGCAGCGCCTTGATGCCTACAGTGTGCTCTAGTCTCGCCAAATAGTATGTTATGGTCAACCATGTCATCAGAACAACCACGACGCAAGAGGACACTGATGACGTGCACCCTATGACCCAATCTGGGGCAGTGATGTACCAGCGGAGTTCAAGTTGTGGCCACCGGACAGAAGGTCCTGCATCACTGTTCCCATGGGTCGGAACTGGAAAACACGTTAAGATTGAGGACTCTTGACTACCGATTTGGACTTTTCCTGAACAGCTCACAAAGATAAATAAGGCTCAGAATGAGGAAATCGACGCGATCAGATAGTGGTCATGCAACACAGGGTCGCCTGGACATGATTCTCGC